TGTCCACACACAACTGTTGTCCATATCTCAGTCACTTTCACGTTATTCATACACAACAGATATACAAGGGTGAGTGCAATCATCATTTGAAGATTATCAGATGCAAAATGTGTGAGTGAATCTGAATTGAAGTAACCACTGGAATTATCATTTCTAGTCACTGATTAGACTACTCACAAACATCAGTAGATTGAATACTAAAAGCAAACACATTATATTTGACATAGTGAATATCAATTATGCATTACATATGCGTCTGTCAACTTTCATGACAACCATTTCAGTGGTGTTATAATAGAACATACGAATCACTGGTGTACTGTACAGTCAATTGCATTAAAATAATGAAATGTCGACATTGAATGTAGTAAGAGTAGGCTTGTAGAAACGTGCAAATGTGTAGAATCGTACGTATATTTACTGAATACTATTGATAACTGTTGTTTACATCACAGACAAATATTCATGGGAATTTCAACTGATTTACTTGTAAAACTGATATAAACTACTCGATTAACATCCAATTGTTTAGTATCATGAGTGTACTCCGAAACACAATTCAGCATGTAATAAGCATCAGTACAGTGAACAACAATGTACACTGAATCCCGATTACTGTATATTGGTCGATGTATACGATGCAAGCAACTCCGCCTGTAGTTCTTCTAGAGTTACTACCGGTCCCAAACAGGGTAAAGGAGGAGGGTTGAGCATGAGATTGTCGACCTAATCGCGTAGAAAACTAACTCGCTAAAACAACGCTAACCAGAATGGCATAACAGCGGTAATCGTGACTCAGTAGGCTGGCTGACGATCTTATGACCTTTATTACGAAAGAAGTGTAGTTTCAGCTGATATATGCATGTTACTACGAATATATACACACCTAGATTATAAGTCATAAATAGGGTTGACTGTCAAGTCATAGAGCCTGTGACAATTTACCAACGGAAATATTCTTATGTCAGGATCAACATTTTTCAATGTAGAATGCACACATGGATTTCGAATCAGTTTACTGATGATTTGCAGGAACGTGACAATCTCCAATCTGTCATTCGTGGTTACAGTGTCATCATGATAGACAAAAAACGGAATAAATGAAATATGTGTGGTCCGTTAAGTGTGTCCAACTAACTTCTCTACCGCTTTGTTCAGGGTGATATCCAATGTTGGAACATAACAACTTTATTCCTTCTTGTTGAATTTCCACCTAACATATTGTACAACAGACTCTGAATGAAGCAATGATTGTCGCACAATCTTACTATGAAGAAAGAACCTCATCATTCTGATGGGAGATCATGGGACGACATGGACTGGAGAGAGAACCGAAAATGGGGAAAGATTTTCAAATGTCTGTTCATTCAAGAAATTGGTCATAGACGGCACAATATTTCCACACAAACGTATACACAAAGCTACATGGATCTGACCGGACCACACCACAGAGAACCAGATAGATCATATTTGCATGAATAAAATGTTCCGAAGGACAATGGAAGATGTGAGAAGCAGGTGAGCAGCTGACATAGCTTCAGATCACCACACCACCTAGTTGTGGTCAATTTAAAACTGAAGCTAAAGAAGAACTGGACAAGTGGACAAACTGCACTACAAAGGTTCAATACAGCCTTCCTTCGAGATACTCACAAACTCAATCAATTCAAGATAGCTCTCGACAACAAGTTCCAAGCCTTACAGGATCTACTGAAGGAAGAAGAAACTACTATGGAGGACAACTGGGAAGGTATCGTGGAAGCATTAACTTGAACGTGTCAAGCGGTTCTTGGCCTAATGGAGCATCATCATAAGGAATGGACTTCCATAGAAACACTGGACAGGATCAAATAAAGGAAGAGCAAGAATACAGCGATTAACAACAGCCGAACACGAGCAGAGAAAGTCCAAGCACAAGCTGAGTACATAGAAGCAAACAGGCAAGTGAAGAAGATCATTAGAGCCGACAAGAAGAAATACGTGGAAGAACTGGCAACGACAGCGGAACAAGCTGCAAGAGATGGAAATATGAAACAGTTCTACGTTACAACGAAGAAACTAGCAGGGAAATACAGTAAAGCAGAGAGACCGGTCAAACACGAGGAGGGCAGGCCAATCAGTGAAACTCAACAATAACGGAACAGATGGGTAGAGTTGTTCGAGGAACTCCTGAATAGACTGGCTCCAATGAATCCACCGGACATCGATGCAGCACACACAGATCTTCCTCCATTAGATGGACTGGAAAGAAGTACACCTCATCAAGATTCCAAAGAAAGGAGATCTGAGCAAATGGGAAAACTACAGAGGCATTACACTACTGTCAGTACAAGAGTAAGTCTTTAACAGAGTGCAGCTGAGCCGGTTAAAAGACGCAGTAGACGCACAACTTCGAGATCAACAAGCTGGATTCCGTAAGGATCGGTCACTGCACATCAACTTCATTGATTATGAAGAGCCAGTTTAGCACCAGTCTCTGCATCAGTAGGCCTCAACATACACAAGAGGAAAACCAAGGTCCTCAAACACAACACGGAGAACAGCAATCCAATCACTCTTGATGATGAAACTCTGGAAGATGTAGAATCGTTCACATACCTGGGAAGCATCATCGATGAACACGGAGGTTCAGATGCAGACGTGAAGGCGAGGATTGGCAAAGCAAGGGCCGCATTCCTACAATTGAACAACATGTGGAACTCAAAACAACTTTCAACCAATATCAAAGTCGGAATCTTCAGTACGAACGTCAAGACAGTTCTACTGTACGCAAATGAAACTTGGAGAACTACAACAACCACCGTCAAGAAGGTACAAGTATTTGTAAATAGCTGTCTACGCAAGATACTCAACATCCATTGGCCGGATACCATCAGCAACAACCTTCTGTGGGAGAGAACAAACCAGCTTCCAGCTGAAGAGGAAATTAGGAAAAGACGATGGAAATGGATATGACATACATTACGCAAACGGTCAAACTGCATCACGAGGCAAGTCCTATCTTGGAATTCTGAAGGGAATCGGAAAAGAGGAATGCTGAAGAACACATTACGTCGGCAAATAGAAGCAGTGTTGAAACTGTGTACAATGAATATTCAGTCAGTATGACCATTGGTCCTGTTCCAACTGGTCTCACTGAATTCGGTCATCAGCAGTGAGACGACATACACGGAATCGGTCTCTACTCAGTACAATACGGATTCAAACACTTAACGAATGATGCATTGCATACAGTGAGAAAATATGAATGCTGACACTTATCGATGAGTTGAAGCATTTTCAGGGTATTTGGTTCGTTCACTTGTTTAGTGTAAAGCACCTACAGATAGAGAGATTGATGTATATTTGAATTAGTAAAACAGAGTGCAATGTGCTATATTTCTTAACGGAAATACATCTGCTTTCATGTATCCACTCATTGATTCCTCCTGTTAATGATGCAGATTTACAAAGTACTACTTTCATCCGAGACATTAGTGATATGCCATTTCAACTGTCGTTTACATGCTCAGAACATACAGAATCAAACACCAAACAATCTATTATGGAGAAGGAATTCCATGCTTCTCACAAGTGCAAAGATATAGAACATTGTGGCTTGATATCTTTCGTTAGTAAAAGTAAACCATATTTCGTAGGTTCAATACAGTTCACGTTGAGTGTAACTCTCAAACAACTAACAATCCAACTGTGTACTTCACTGATGTTGAATAGTTTACTCATCAAAATAGATGGAGTCTCGAACACAAATGATGTTTCACAACAGCATAACATACAAACTGACTGATTTCAGAATAGTGTGTGTCATGTGGCTGTCGATCAACTGGACTTGATCAAGTAAAATTGTGTGAATATGCACTGGAATGGAGTCAACTGATAATTTTGCATGACACAAGTGTTGTTAAGTTAACGTCGAACTTTTTCATCATGTCATTAGACAAGTGAAAACATACTACATTCTTCAATTGTTGCATCCACGAGTTGAATGAGGTGAACACCTGAACTTGAAGAAGCCTTCCACAAAGTGAAATTGAATGAAATCATATCAATTGGATGAGTGGAACATTTTGTCAAGTTCAATTCACTTAATGTTGATCATATTTCTTCTGCAATTCAGTAACCGTCTGTCTCATTCAAAGCCTCATTTTCCTTGATACTATGTGAATGAGAGTAATCATGCGATTGAATTGAACATATTTGCAATTGACATGTGTTCTGTTAGGTTCATTGTATTCTGTTCATTCGAGTAGTTTGACTAGCGTTTTGTATATTACTCGGCACTACTACTTATCAGTATTGAGTAGTCTGTTTGGTTACCCATAACTTTATTGAATGCAGACATACTGATATCTGATTTGTTATAGAATATTCTCAACCACATCCATCCACTGAACACATTCATTTGATTCATTCATTTATAATGAGTTTTCAACCAGTTCATCACAGTTGATCCAAGTAATTATTAGTGGTAGTTAGAGAAGAAGGAGATTAAGGTAGCAGAACACACATAGCATTTAAACCAATATGTATTATTGAAGTGTAGAATACACGTATTAGTCATTGAACGGGCAGAGAGAATACCTGTTGTTCTATTGGCTTTACACAGAACCAAGTCAATCGAAGAATCAGTTTGTGAATTCATCGTGCACTGTAATCACATGAACACTTCATTCAGTGAATTATTCATCATCCGATAGTCAGTAATGTCAACAGTCGATTCCATAAATTCATGGTGTACATATATGATTGATGATTGATCTTTTTTTTGTCATCATACCAGTTCATTGACGTCCTAATAAGAATAGCCCACGATATTGTTCTGTGTTGTACTTATGAGTAGTGATTGAGGCAACTGTGAAAGTGTACGGTTGCATTCAGTGATGAGAATGTGCAAATCAGGCAATGATGAACACGAGAACGTAACGAGAACGGTGAAGAAACCTAATCGTGTATTGTAAAGTGAATGCGAGACCATGTTGTTGATTGAATTTCACAGGGTGTTATTGTAAATGAACTTTCAGTGAAAAACTAACAAACCAGATCTGAATTATAGTTTGAATAGAATAAGATGATGATGATGATGATGATGATGATGATGATGATGATGATGATGATGATGATGATGATGATGATGATGATGATGATGATGATGATGATGATGATGATGATGATGATGATGATGATGATGATGATGATGATGATGATGATGATGATGATGATGATGATGATGATGATGATGATGATGATGATGATGATGATGATGATGATGATGATGATGATGATGATGATGATGATGATGATGATGATGATGATGATGATGATGATGATGATGATGATGATGATGATGATGATGATGATGATGATGATGATGATGATGATGATGATGATGATGATGATGATGATGATGATGATGATGATGATGATGATGATGATGATGATGATGATGATGATGATGATGATGATGATGATGATGATGATGATGATGATGATGATGATGATGATGATGATGATGATGATGATGATGATGATGATGATGATGATGATGATGATGATGATGATGATGATGATGATGATGATGATGATGATGATGATGATGATGATGATGATGATGATGATGATGATGATGATGATGATGATGATGATGATGATGATGATGATGATGATGATGATGATGATGATGATGATGATGATGATGATGATGATGATGATGATGATGATGATGATGATGATGATGATGATGATGATGATGATGATGATGATGATGATGATGATGATGATGATGATGATGATGATGATGATGATGATGATGATGATGATGATGATGATGATGATGATGATGATGATGATGATGATGATGATGATGATGATGATGATGATGATGATGATGATGATGATGATGATGATGATGATGATGATGATGATGATGATGATGATGATGATGATGATGATGATGATGATGATGATGATGATGATGATGATGATGATGATGATGATGATGATGATGATGATGATGATGATGATGATGATGATGATGATGATGATGATGATGATGATGATGATGATGATGATGATGATGATGATGATGATGATGATGATGATGATGATGATGATGATGATGATGATGATGATGATGATGATGATGATGATGATGATGATGATGATGATGATGATGATGATGATGATGATGATGATGATGATGATGATGATGATGATGATGATGATGATGATGATGATGATGATGATGATGATGATGATGATGATGATGATGATGATGATGATGATGATGATGATGATGATGATGATGATGATGATGATGATGATGATGATGATGATGATGATGATGATGATGATGATGATGATGATGATGATGATGATGATGATGATGATGATGATGATGATGATGATGATGATGATGATGATGATGATGATGATGATGATGATGATGATGATGATGATGATGATGATGATGATGATGATGATGATGATGATGATGATGATGATGATGATGATGATGATGATGATGATGATGATGATGATGATGATGATGATGATGATGATGATGATGATGATGATGATGATGATGATGATGATGATGATGATGATGATGATGATGATGATGATGATGATGATGATGATGATGATGATGATGATGATGATGATGATGATGATGATGATGATGATGATGATGATGATGATGATGATGATGATGATGATGATGATGATGATGATGATGATGATGATGATGATGATGATGATGATGATGATGATGATGATGATGATGATGATGATGATGATGATGATGATGATGATGATGATGATGATGATGATGATGATGATGATGATGATGATGATGATGATGATGATGATGATGATGATGATGATGATGATGATGATGATGATGATGATGATGATGATGATGATGATGATGATGATGATGATGATGATGATGATGATGATGATGATGATGATGATGATGATGATGATGATGATGATGATGATGATGATGATGATGATGATGATGATGATGATGATGATGATGATGATGATGATGATGATGATGATGATGATGATGATGATGATGATGATGATGATGATGATGATGATGATGATGATGATGATGATGATGATGATGATGATGATGATGATGATGATGATGATGATGATGATGATGATGATGATGATGATGATGATGATGATGATGATGATGATGATGATGATGATGATGATGATGATGATGATGATGATGATGATGATGATGATGATGATGATGATGATGATGATGATGATGATGATGATGATGATGATGATGATGATGATGATGATGATGATGATGATGATGATGATGATGATGATGATGATGATGATGATGATGATGATGATGATGATGATGATGATGATGATGATGATGATGATGATGATGATGATGATGATGATGATGATGATGATGATGATGATGATGATGATGATGATGATGATGATGATGATGATGATGATGATGATGATGATGATGATGATGATGATGATGATGATGATGATGATGATGATGATGATGATGATGATGATGATGATGATGATGATGATGATGATGATGATGATGATGATGATGATGATGATGATGATGATGATGATGATGATGATGATGATGATGATGATGATGATGATGATGATGATGATGATGATGATGATGATGATGATGATGATGATGATGATGATGATGATGATGATGATGATGATGATGATGATGATGATGATGATGATGATGATGATGATGATGATGATGATGATGATGATGATGATGATGATGATGATGATGATGATGATGATGATGATGATGATGATGATGATGATGATGATGATGATGATGATGATGATGATGATGATGATGATGATGATGATGATGATGATGATGATGATGATGATGATGATGATGATGATGATGATGATGATGATGATGATGATGATGATGATGATGATGATGATGATGATGATGATGATGATGATGATGATGATGATGATGATGATGATGATGATGATGATGATGATGATGATGATGATGATGATGATGATGATGATGATGATGATGATGATGATGATGATGATGATGATGATGATGATGATGATGATGATGATGATGATGATGATGATGATGATGATGATGATGATGATGATGATGATGATGATGATGATGATGATGATGATGATGATGATGATGATGATGATGATGATGATGATGATGATGATGATGATGATGATGATGATGATGATGATGATGATGATGATGATGATGATGATGATGATGGGAATAAAATGCCCTATTTACAACAATAACAATAAACATGTTGATATAATGGAAGGATGTGGGAACCACAATAAGACGAAAGCAGATGTCGAATATGCAATTTAGTTTTATGGGAAGAAGAAGTTCATGTTTGTGTGAAGGTATTCACCAAACAACAACAACTACAAAAATAATAATAATAATAATAATAATAATAATAATGATAATAAGGACAATAGAAATCATAATAACAATAACAATGATAAAAGGTTAAGGTGAAGATGGGAAATAATTCATTTGTAAACAGAGTTTGAATTCCATCTCGATGGATATCTGAATGATCAATTGAGTGAAACAGTTACAGTTGATAAAATTTCAACGCATTTCTGAACTCCTCATACCACCATGTCGACATTATGACAGAGTCAATATAAGGAGCAGCAAATCTCAATCTAATCTCACTTGATTCCGGCATCAACCATATTAATCAATTGATTTCATTTTATTTGTAGTAAGATTGTGTAACGTGCAATGTTGCCTTGACAGTTCCATTGATGTTGCATTGATGATCTCAGTTAATCAGTAGTGAACAACTGCAAATATTCTATGCGGATATCAAGCTATTTCCTTGAACTATGCTACGCGAAATCTACTCACATGCTGTTTCCATATCATACTCATGTCAGTTTTATTATTTTTGTTGATCAGGATGAGATTGTGACCGCGAAAGATTTTCTCACAAACAACAGTATAGTTGATTGGAAATCGACATCTGTGTTTAATAGTCAGTGCATGTAGCATGGATAATGATTGTATTGACAACGTTAGTGTGTGTGTGAAACATAATTGTTTATTGTTTAGCTTTACAGAGAGAGTGTTTCAGTGGAAAGCTCAGTTGACCTTGTCACTGTGTCAAACCAATCACGCGTGAACCAGTACGAACAGCCTAGAATCACCTCACAGTCCTAACTGGTTCTTCACGTGCTGCCCGTCTTGTCTGTCGAGTCCAGAACACAATCTCAGCTTCCACTATATGGATCATGTATATCGGACATATGCAGTATGTTTGCAGGCAAATCAGACCTCAGCATACCACAAAGTAGAGAATGACAGTTATACAACATCGTGCCAAATGTGGCTGTGAATGTGAGAGAGTGTAACTAATAGATTGTGAATAACTTAGGAATACTAAATCGTATATTATTAGTTATATCATAAGAATATATATGTAACAACAGTCGATCTATAAATTCCAGTAGTTAACATCCATTTATTCTTCGTGAGGATGTAACGAACCCGGATTGATGTTTCATAACACAATACTTCATTGATATTGTTGCGACTAGAAAACGATGACTCATGTAGGTTTCATTTGTATTTATCCGTTAAAATATTTCTTGCCCTCAAAAATCCCAGAATGAAACTTCTATACACTACAACTGATCACTTTACCCAGAGAAAGCATTCCGAATTCTCGATAGGAAAACCCAATCATTAGGAACGCTCATCTCTGATTACATTGTAGTCAACAGGTGTGAATCTAACCTGGTTGTATGTTCATGAGCGTTTAGTTGGTAAATGATTATTGTGGAGAATGCAACACTAAATCAAGCACAAACATCAGTTATGAGCACATCAACATCGAATCGGAACTAGACTTAATTGACGAAGTAAATGACACAGTATCCTCAATTGTTTTAACATCAACATAGAATTGACCAAAACATGGGCATGTAAACTCGAAGAAACTCATCGTGGGAGCCATAATGACTATTCCTAATGAAATAAATGACCAATACAATTTGCATTCATCCAACTGGTTAGAAATTATTCATTTCCAATGAGCAGCCACCTAATTGGTCAATTTGTGGAGATAGGAAATTCCACCAATCAATTGATTCATCTCCACTATATAAACAGCAGCAGCAGCAGCAGTAGTTGTTGTTGTTATTGTCGAACAACACACCATTTCTTATACATTTCAAGTTACATCAAATGATTCAATATTCATTCTTGATCACTGTATACATTTCAATTCATCTTTCATATTGTTTGCACACACAAACAAATGTGACAAATCATTCGACGTTGTTATCCTCATGTGAGCAGTGCTCGAAATGCAGCACAAATATGCGTTGCAACTACACACAATGGATAGGCAAATTGGGACTGTTAGAGCAGACATTCTCACAAAACTACTGGTTGAATTCAGTCAAAACGAAATCAGATTGCCTCACTGAATGCCGATCTCATCCACAGTGTAATCTATACACATATCGAATTGTAAGTTTACCATAAATTTTGGCTAAATATGTAACTGTCTAACTGATATATCTATATATACATACTTCCAGTTGAATTGATTATCACCGATTCATGTCAATATCCACCTACTCTGTTATCTTGGCAAAAATATTATTGTTATTATTAGTTGTAGAGAATAAGAAACGTTTGCAGTTTGACTGTATGGAGCGTTTCATTGAGATGTCAAGTGTTCAATTGGAGCTATTATTATTATTACCATTTATATTAGATGGAATGCTACATCCATCAACCATTTGATGTATGAATTGCAGATATACGTTACATTTCAAACTTCTCCTTATTTACAGCTCAAACCGATGTGGTGCAATCTGTATTCTGGACTGATTGAAAACGCTACGATAAAGATCAATTCAACCGAGTATATGACTGGAGCAAGAGTGTGTTGTTTTAAGTTGAAATCGTGTTTATGATGGTAATATTAATTATAATGATAGTCATAATGAGGATTGTTTCGAATATTCATAATTAGGGTCAGTGTAACATGGTTTGTATTATTGAGGGTAGTTGTGTTGTACTTTCATTCGGTCAACTGAAATGACACATATCATTTGAGAATATGTAGTTGGCATGAAGATTGAAGCAAGTATTTCCATGCAAAGTTGATCAGTAGATCTTAGCTAATTGTTATCGATAAATGCACTGTATGTCCATTATCCATAGAAATGTCAGTCGGTCAGTCAGTCAATCAGTAAGCAACGGTTAACAGACGTTACAGAAAAGTGTTAAGTGAAGTTCACTAGTGAGATAAGTTTTGTGTAAGTGTGTGTGTGTGGTTGAAGTCCCAGTCAACATTCTCGGAACTTCAGAAATGTTATAAAGCCTTCGCTTACAACATTTCTCATAACATCAGTAACCACAATGTTTAAACTTCTCTCACCGAAGCATCTCCTTCCATTATTATGTTTGCAAAGATGCTTCACATATCTGATGTTCCTCGAACCACTAAACTGTAGACTATTAAGTGTGACTAATTAAGAATCTTTGTGGTTATCAAATGGACACGTTCACACTGTACACTACGTACAATTCATGGTAATCGCAATCACTCATCATAATGAAAGTTCTTATTAAGTAAACTGTTTGCTGAATATCTATCTGATGAATGTTAGATATCAGTGAATATTTTATTGCAGTTTTATATTTGCGTAATTGATTTGCACTAATGTCAGTGAACCATCTATGTACATCGGTAGCTCTTTCAAACCATCCTCTTCTTGTTTATCTTACATTCTTTAACCACTGTACACTTTCTTGTGCATTCAATGAAAGTTGTAAATGCGTTTCTTTCCTCTACTTACTACTGTACTGTACTGTACTTTACTTTACTGTACTGCACTGCATTGTACTTCACTATGTCAGACATTCTGCGACTAAATGTAAATAAACTATTCATTTGTTGTTGACCAAGTGTCGTTCTTTCAAATAAATTGTTGAAGATCAAATGCATAGTCGAAAGAACAATCGTATGCATTGTAATAGACAAGGTGATTGGATCGTGTTTTCTTTCATGGATAACACTGAACTATGTGTGAATAATCTGAAGAGAAACTAACGAAATTGTAGTTGATTGTTGGACAAGTAGGTTGACCGATTCGATTATTTCAGTAAGTGACTACATTTGACTGATTGCTTGAAACGGAACATTCAAACTACTGAACTGATTAGTCCGTTTTACGAAACCGATCATCATCATCGGAATTATTCCGTTCACTTGTTATAAGGGAATTAGTACATTGATTACATAAAGTAAAATATGAATCAGTAAACGGTTTTAATCTTGTATATATCAGTTCGTAAAAGTTCGGTTAAGATGATTATTTATTTCGTGTTAGGCCTATCGAAGCGTCCGCGTCACTCAATCGAGATACGCGCAAAACTGAATTTCGCAAAACAACCAATTGTCTAGAATAACCGTCCTATATTGAATAATTAACGAAAATTAGTTACAAACCTCAACTTGTGAGATGTCTGTGGAGTTTAACGCGTCCGTTTTTATGAAACAAAAGACGCCTCCTGTAACAGTAACACAACGAAGAATTACAACATACGATAGAGCAAATGACAGCTGGTATTTGTGTCTAAACTTGGTAACAGTTCATCAATATGCAACACCCGAACCAAGAGCAGTACAATGTGGAAACTGTTGCGTTTAAGCAAATGCACAAAACTGTTGATAACTGCTACAATGATTTAGAAAAAGTAATTGCAATGATAAATGCAATAAACGTTATAAGTATATGTAAATATTTCATAAGAATATCACACGGCCAACTTGCCTGACAACATAAGCCTGAAAATTGTTACGAATACAACCGCTTACTGAATATTATTATTAAGTAGTATAAAACAATACGCAAAAGGGAGTGGGAGAGAAGCCAGTAAGAAAAATGTTATACTAACTAAACAATTCGTGTTGAAACATCTTCCAAATGCACAAATGTACAAATATCGATCAAGTACGTGTTGTTCTGATTAGCAATGTAAAATACATCTGCTCAACAATATGCTAAGATTTGTAGTTAGGAAACTGAGAACTGAAACGTGCACCACGTTACATGAACTATAGACTTAGTAAACAAAAGTCAAAAAGATTTATACTATGGATTAGGCATAACTGTGCAGTGTACAGTACAGTGTACATTCAGTATGCGTATTTGAATAAATAACAAGCAATGATGAGCGGAGATCTGTCGAAATTTTATCAAAAATAGATTGAGTACAATGATGGTCAATTGATGACGTTTGCACAGTTGATGTTACACTCCACATTTTTCCCACAGTTAAGATGGATGAAGGAAATTGGGAAAAGATTGTGTTTGCTCTGAAACCTATAGTAGTAGGATGAAGATAGAATGAGGAATCTCTTGGAATGAATTATTGCTTCAGAATAATATTCCGATTCGTGCACATTGTAGTCGAATTTCAAATCTGTAATCAGTGATTACATGTTGTACAGATCTACCTTACTGTTTACATATTGGAACTGATCAAATATATCACGATTGTTTGTGGCAATGCGTTATCGAGGTGAAAGGAAGCATATGGTTGAATGGTGGATTCGGACATTTGGTGGATGATCACAGATGTCTATTCTAGACGAACGACCATCCTTATATTGTCCATAAAGTGTTAGGCTGAAAGGTTCCATGATGTTCACCGTTTCGATTTCAGGTATCTCACGTCTACTACATAATTGTCATTGCTGATTTGTGCCACGTGTCCACACACAACGGTTGTCCATATCTCAGTCACTTTCATTTTGTTCATACACAATGCATAAACGAGTGTGACTAAAATCATCATTTGAAGAGTATGAAATGCAAAATATGTGAGTGAATCTGAATTGAAGTAACTAC